ATGCAGCTTAAACAAGTGAAAACTAAGATTAGTTGTTGTTAAAAAAAAGAAGACTTGATTCTATTATTTACATACTCAACGGCTTACGCGCAGCTTTATCAGAACGCATAATACCGAAGTGTGGCACGTTCAACTAATCCTCCTCCCCTACCGCGTCCGTTTGATCAACTTATTGCTCAGCGGCGTTTGTTTGCATCTTTTATATGTATGTATGGAACCGGTGATTTTGCATTGATAAAATGCTAACTCTCGAATCGCTGCGGGCGTGGTGGCGGCATCAGTTGGATCGTGTCTGTCTACGGGATTTTTTCGGTTGTACGGACTTCTGGCATTACCTTAAGCGAAAGGTAAACGTAATTTCAAAAGTACTCTGTTTTTTTTTAACACATCATTTTTTTTTCTTATTTATTGAGCTTTATAAGATAAAAAGTGGTTTGATAAATTTAATAAAATATACAAGTTCGATTAGCTCACCGAAAACGAAGCAGAATAATTCGGCATGTTGGGTTAAAGTACATAAAAAAAACTTGTAGAGAGATATATAATCGCCATGGTAACGAACAAGTTCTTCCCGATTCGTACGAAGCTGGTAGTTTTGATCATTTAACATAGCCGCATTTGGCGGATACGAAGCATTTTGCTTCAAGCGACGATATATTTTTTTTCTTTTGCTGCGACGAAACTGCGGCCACAGTAGCTGGGTGGTCAACAGTGCGTACTATCACTCCGTCGAACCTAGGTTCAATACCTGATCCGAACAACATCTAAGTTATAACAGGTTTTTTTTTCAACAGCGGTCCATCTCTTATTTGGCCGGCAAGGGCAAACATACAAAGGTAATACTATCTAGAAAGTGCTTCTCATAAATCCGTTTACCGTTTGGAAGTGACGCACAGTGTAACGCGTGTGGCCAAAAATAGTAAAAATTAAAGTGGTAGGCTTACCGACCGATCATTAAAACTCGAATTAAAAGAGGGCTGAAAGTTTTTTCATAATAAACATTTTCTTCTTAAAGTAGAAGAAAAAAATATATATTTTTTTTCATGTAGTTAATATACGAACGAGTAAGTTCGAAATATCAACCAAATCGGACTATAGATACGCTTACTTCAAGTATCTCGACTCCTGCGCCACCTATCGGATTAACTATACATATTGCATTACCAACGGGTTCTGAGCCACCTGTGAAACCGGTTTTCTTTTCAATGTATACATGAAATTGATGTTGAGTCCATACTATCTGTGAAATCAAACGCCGTTGGTCTTGCCGGAAGCCATCCTAAATTCATTAAGTGTATATTGCCATTCATTCTTCCGTACCTTACCTACGCTTTCAACCCTATTTTGACAACGTCCGTATTTCCGAGCTATTGGAAGAAGGCCAGAATTATCCCCCTTTTGAAATGTAAAGCTGTTTTCAGACCAATTGCCATGCCTTCATTCCTTTCAAAGGTTTTGAAATGAATAATGCATCGCCAAATCAACACATTTGTGAGCAAAACGTAATCTCAATGGAGATCTAAGTCGCGTAAATGGCTGGGCGAATGCTAATGGCCTATTATTGAATTCAAGTAAGTTCCAATGCTTTATAATTTAGAAGAAAACTTAAAGTTAGACAATTATTTAAAAGTAACGTTAGGCAACTCGGTAATAAATTCTGTTGATGCTGCCAAAAACCTGGAACATTCCCATGGAATAACCACATTTTTACGGTAACAGGCAAAGTGTATGTAACGTTGCGCTCCTTAGAGACTACCCAGTACTTTAGGCCAATCTCTACCTATCACTGATGCTAACTATTAACGAATAGAGAAAGTTCTTTTCACGACCAAGTCTAATCAATAAGTCGTACGAAATGTTGATACCACTTTGTGAGTAGTGAATCGAAATAAGGAATACCAAAAATCTAACTTACATAACTCAGACTACATCAAAGTTTCAGGTAAATATTAGTGATTTATGTTTTCAATCAACAGGTGGCACCGGATGGGGAACAAGTGCCGACTGAGCCCTTTACGTCTGACAAAATGTCTTACCACAAAAAGCAATCCTCCAAAGTTCGATGGTTTCTTGCTCCAGCATTTCTAATTATTTGGCCTGCAATCTTGTATGCCGTTGTAATACCACTTTTCCTATCACTACCCGAAGGAATTACAATCGCAAGCGAGAGCTCATATCCTGGTCAATTCATAGCCGAGCGTGCCGAAAATATACTATACGATTTCAACCATATCGGACCAAAAGTTGTGGGAAGTGATGCAAATGAAAACCATACAGTGGAACTGCTTAAAAATGAATTGGAAAAGATTAGAAGTGTTATGCACGAGGATCTCTTCGAATTGGATGTCGATGTGCAGGTTGTCTCTGGCGCTTATATGCATTGGCAAATGGTGAATATGTATCAGGCGGTACAAAACGTTGTGGTACGTATTAGGAGTAAAAATTCCACCAGCGAAGCGGCCTTACTCATGAACAGCCATTTTGACTCGAAACCTGGCAGTCCAGGTAAGTAAATCGAGATTGAGTGTGGGGCGATGAGTATTTGAGTCTGCTTATTTGAAAAATTGTACATAGGTGCCGGCGATGATGGCACTATGGTTGTTATACTGCTCGAGACTCTGCGCGTGCTCGCCACAACTCGTCAAACTTTCACACATCCAATTGTATTTCTATTCAATGGCGCCGAAGAGAATCCTTTGCAGGCCACACACGGTTTTGTTACCCAACACGAATGGGCTAAAAATTGCAAGTAAGTGTGGGAATTTATGGGTTGCGGATGAAAATTGTACATGACTATAAAAATATATATTATTAGAGCGGTCATTAACTTGGATTCAGCAGGTAGCGGTGGTCGTGAACTTCTTTTTCAATCCGGACCCAATCACTCATGGTTAATGAAAGTAAGTGGCTGTTTTTTGTAGTAAGAAATTCATGAGCGCGTCATTTCGTTATGGGCCTTGGTTTAACTTACATACCTACATACATACATAATCGCGAATATACAATAATCGTATTCGTTTCCCAAACCTCGCGAGCTCACTCACTCGCTCGCTCGTTCGCTTACCTAGAAACCCCATCGTCCTTTCAAAGTCTTCTTCCTGATGTCCTAATACATATTACCCATTTGCTTACATGTTCATGCATGTTATCGTTATAGCGTAATTGTAAATCTTTTCGTCTTTGGTAAAAGGAATGCCTTACGCATTTTTCCATCGTTTATTTACCTAAGAGTTAAGACCAAATGTTTGAATAGATTAGATAAAGTTAAATTATTTTCAACTATTTGAAAGTGAGAATTGATTGTACATATGATTTGTTCATACGAGTACTCAATTGAATGCCAATTAATTAGATTTTGATTTGGTCGTAAACACCTATTAGGGCTGTATATAATGGTCTATATCTGAAAGGATATCCGAAAGGTCCCAGCCATGCTTTTGACTAGATTCTGTAAAACTGACGGATAAAGGAACACTTTATATATTTACATTAGGATGCATCACTCTGTATACGAAAAATGGGTATATACTATTTTCCCATATGCATAAAAATAGTTAAAAAAAATTTAGCAAAGATATTTTTTTAAGATATTTTCAAACTGATCTAGCTCACGTAAATCTTACTAATTTTCCGAAATATTGTAACTGAAGTCTTAAAATATAATAAATTGTGTAATTCCGATGGAAACCGCAACTTGTTTTGGTAAGGCACCCTAATATGCATACATATGTTTATTAGAAAGTTTGAAATCAACAAAATCCTCCCTCATCTGTACTCTCTTCCTCCTCCGCACTAGGTTTAGATACATTCAATAATTGCTTACAGTACTCTGGTAATGAAATTTGTGGTAACCAGAGTAGATATCTACATGACTCTTATTAGCTCCGCAGCCTCTTCTATTAATGGTACCACTATTCATCTCCAAACCTAAGTAAAATGTGAAAACCGACATGTTTGAACGCTTTACTAATTTACAGATCTACCGTAATACTGCTAAACGCTCATTTGCGACAACATTCGCAGAAGAAATATTCCAATCCGGCATTATACCTTCGGATTCAGACTTTAGAATTTTCAAAAATTTCGGACATATACCGGGTAAGTGCACACATAAGTATGATATAGTTATAAAAGGCATTAGTGAGACTTTTAAGGATATATATGTAGATTGAAAAAAATTATGAATCAGTAAAAAGAAATTATTCCCCAAAAACTTGTATAGGCTTGGATATTGCACATTTTAAAAATGGCTATGTATACCACACGAAATTCGATAGGATTGATGTTATACCACGTGGAACGCTACAACGTACTGGCGATAATATATTGGCACTGGCGCGAGCTTTCAGCAATTCTACAGAATTAAAAGATCCAGAGGTGAGTGAAAAAGTAAACCTTCTTACAGTGAATAGATCTTAAGCCTTCAG